TTTTATTGGGCTTCACGTTATATGACCCAGTATAATTTTTTTACTTGAATATGAGTTGAATTAAGAATTGAATGATATTTATTTTTTGATAAGCCCAGCCTTCGGCTGGAGTGTGTAGCCTGAGGTAGGGAAATAAGAGAAAATTAAATGGAAAGAAAATAGGGAAATTAAAAGGGAAAGGAAGATAAAGAAAAGGGAAATTAAAAAGTGAAGATAGGAAAGGGAAATGATGAGAAAGGGGAAGATAATAAAAGAAATTAAAAGGGAAAGAAAGGAAAGGAGAATTTTAGTATTTTTTAAATTTTGATTTTTCCCATATTATTTGAGACTGTTGTTAAAATAATGAATGTTAGTGATATCTTTAGTAGGGTTACATATGTTTTTGGCATAGCATAGTCAGTATACATTTTGTATGTTAATGAAAACTATTCTTTGAGTTAAAATATATATCTTTATAAAAATATTAACATAAGACTAACATTTAACATTAAAAAATCCCAATCTAGGTTCAAGCCTACAATATCTGGAAAAAATATCCAAGCAATAAAGATCTTGATAATTTAAAAAGATTTTCTCAAGCCCACCTCAGTCCCTAATAATTTTGAAACCAAGCCCAGAGATATTAAATTTATAATTAATGAAGGGGAAATCTCTGATTTACCAATTAGTCTACGGGTAAAATATATAAGACTAACATTTAACATTAAAAAAACTCAAAATAGGTTCAAGCCTACAATATTTGGAAAATATTTCCAAGCATCCAAGATCTTAATAATTTAAAAAGATTTTCTCAAGCCCATTTCAATCCCTAATAATTTTTGAAAACCAAGCCAATATTAATTTTGAGAAATATTTTTTAAGCCCAGTCCAACCCATAATAATTTCGAAAAAATTTTCCCAAGCCTAGAGATATTAAATTTATTGAATTAACTCAGTTATGAATTTCTATATAAAATATTAATAATTTGTAATATTTAGTAAATAATGTATTACTTTGACAATTGGTTTTAATATGGCCTCCTACAGTTGCACTAATTTTGAAAAAAATCATGTGAATTGGTAATAAGGGAAACTGAGAAAGCCTGAACAAAGCACTTATTAGAGAATCATGACAAAATAAGGTCTGCCCTAATATGTGAAGAGAAATTCAGTTTAATTTAACACAATTTAATAGACTTATTCAAATATTTAAAATTTTCAAAACAGGGAAATGTGATTGAATAAGGCAAATTATATGAAGTAGTTGCTTGAAATTTTGTGATATTTAGTGATACTTAGTGAAAGTAAGTGTTAGAGAGTAACCCAGTTTACATTGATAATGTTTTTTGAACCACATATTCAGTTTAATTTAACATAATTTAATAGACTTATTCAAATATTTAAAATTTTCAAAACAAGGAAATATGATTGAATATGGCAATTTATATGAAGTAGTTGCTTGTTAGTGATACTTAGTGAAAGTAAGTGTTAAAGAGTAACCCATTTTACATTGGTCATAATGTTAACCACATAAGATCAACCTGCATTCAAATTTCCTATTTTTTAATTAACACTTTCTTGATTAAATTTACACAAGGCTTTAACCTAATTAAAGATTCTTATTCTTAATTTATAAAGTAGATAAAACATTTAGTATAATTATCTTAATTTAATATTCTTATTTAAATATTTAAACTTCAGAAAACAAACAGATATAAGTGAATAAGGAAATTATAAGAATTAGTTGCCTGAAAGATTTTGTGATATTATAATGAAGAGTATGGAGTGAAAAGTGTAAGTGATATTTAAGTGTTTAAAGAGTATATATCTTTTCTTTTTTTAAAAAAGAATTTAGCTTAATTTAATAATCTTACTTCTTCTAATATTTAACTTATGAAATCAGTGAAAAGGAAACTTTGATTAAGTTATTATCATTATTTTAAAAGATATTCCCATTTTAAGATTTACAATATACTTGTATGATCCATAGCCTTCAGCCTGTTCCACATGAAAATCTTTTTTAAATAACTGGCACTCCGATTTCAGGAATTCAAGGAAAATGATTAACTTGTTAAACCATCGTCCAAGCAGTATTATTTTTAAATATCTATCCATTTTTGCAAAATCAAATGTGATAAAATGTTATTAACAAATATGGCTCCTGTTCTAAATCACTAAAAGTAATAATCGCTTAAAATAATAAAAAATATAATCTATTTAAAAATAAATTAAGACTGTTGTTTGTATAAAATAAATAAATAAAATCAAAAAATAAAAATAAATACGTACCGATGACATGACGTAGCGATGACATGACCTCACGATGACGTAGTGAGGACATCGGAAAATTATAATATAGATTAGTGAGATGATAAAAACTATATGTGAGGCAGAAGACATCGATACTAACATTACTTTTAATAAAGTTATAACCAAAAGATGAGATAGAGATAAAAAAAAAAACAATAATATAAAAATAATAAAAAAACATAAAGATCAAAATAGAAATGTATTATCCAAAATAGGATCAAAAATATAATAACTTTCGATCTAAAACTTATAGTTACAATAATAACTATCATAACAAAACTCAAAATAAATCTTGCAGTAAAATTACTGAGACAAATAAGTTAGTCGATTTAAACATATTACCACATTTTTTTATGTCTGATTTTGATTCAGACTCTTATCAACATTGGAAAGACGTTAATAGGTTTAACAGGAAAATTTTTTGTGAAATTAAAAATAAAAATATAATGGACATATTTTGTACTAAAATATATAAAAATTTAAAAATTATAACAAAAAATTTTAAAGTAATTTCTTTACAATTCTTATATGAAGACTGTATAGAGTCTTATAGATTAATGTATAAATCACATAGAATATAGAGTAAAACTAAACTAGTAACAAAAAAAATAGGTGATTCAATTAATAAATGATAAAAAATTTGTGAAGAATAAATGTATTAAAAGGAAAATAGAAAATAATATCAAAACTATATATTTAAATTTCAAAAAACCACATATAGAGGCAATAAAGAGATTATTTACTATATATTTAAGGCCAAAGAAATTTTTTTTACAAAATATAATTTGAAGAAAAATTACTATATCAAGACGCTTTTAAATTAAAAGCAAAGGTGTTAAATTTAAACTTTAAAATAAAGAGAGGGAAGTGTGCTTAATATTCTACCTGCATATTTTAAAACTCGTATAAACCATTATTAATATATATATAAATAAAAATCGATATACATACATAAAAATTATATAAAACGCAAAATATAAAAATAAATTTAAACGCCAAACTAAAACGGAAAGTATAAAAAATAATAAAACGCTAAACTAAAACGCGAATCACATATCAATTATTCTTATTTAAATTTTATTCTATTATTCCAATTTTATCATTCTTATTCCATTCAATAATTCCTATTCAATATTCTACTAATACATTCTATATATCACTTCCATTATTCTTATTTGACATTCAACAAATTATTCCATACTAAACGACGAATTAATGTTAACGATTTGAACAGAACGGGATCGAGGATAAAAGAGACAAGAGAACGTACAAAAACAACAAACGATTAGAAGCAAGTTCCACGACGACTGTGAAACACAGAAAGATCGAAGAAAGAACAGAGGGTGATTTATTTTAAATTATATTAACTTAAATTTTACCTTACGGACTTGTATTATTTCTCTTACTTAACATAACATTAATCTAATAGTTACATTGATTGTTATTTACTTTTGAAAAGTATATATATAGAATTTATTATGTTAATAGTCAGTTAGTTATATTTATAATAAATAAATTTAAAATAAAGAAATTTTGTTTCGATATCTTTTTGCTTATCCATACCACTCACACTATATTAGCAGTTTAAAAAATCGATGTTTGAAAATGTTTGGCATAAAATTGAGTGCAATTATTAATAATATTTATTTTCAAAAACAATGACGGTCATTTTCTTTGAAAATTGATGTTTGAAAATAACTTGGGTTAAATTTACATCGATTACTGCTATTATGAACCCGAGTTAAACTCTCGTAATTTTTTCAATACAAGTTCATTAACATTGAAATTGAAATCTTGCTTTCAATATTTAAAATAAAATTTTTAAATTATGGGGAAAAAAAACATATTAGTGCAAATGAGCATTGTGTTATAAAGGTTATACACTATCAATGTCAAATAACAAAATTAGATAACAAATAACAAGTATAGTTTTTTAAAAAAGATTCAGGTTATTCTAAATCATGATGCTTAAAGAAAATGTGCTGAAAGATTTAATATTTCTAAAGGAACTGTTCACAAATTCATAAATCCAAAGCCATGCAAAATAAAACATTTGTCCAAATTGCAAAGATAACATCTAAATTTATTTCATAAATTAATTTAATATTTTTTCTTATTTTATGCAAATATTTATACATACATGTTTTTAATCATGATTTTGATGAATTAATTATAATAAAAAAATTATTTGTAAATGATTGAATATAATCTTACTTTTTGTTAAACTAAGAATATAACAGATGGTGATGTTTTTTTTAAAAAGTAAAAAGTCTTGATAAATTAGGAAACTAATTAAATTGGGCATAAACCTGCTCCCAACGGCGCCCAAATTAGACAGGTATGACTTACATATTATTTGCAATATATTTTAATTTTTATATAACTTTCTAGTCTAAATAGCCATTTGATATAATATAAATATAATATATTTTTGAGATGCTTCGATATAAAAAAACTTTGAAATAATAAATAAAAATTTTAAAAAATAATTTGCCCAAATTTTTGATAAAACAAAAATTAGCCTCTTAGCGTAGCCCCTACTATTTTATTAATATCATGCCCCTGCCAAAATGATTCAAATAAATTGGCCATTTAACGATTTAACGAAATTTATGTAAGCGAAAAGTACCGATATATCAAATAATTGATACATGTCACATATAACCTATTATGCCACCGATTATAATATAAGCCAGAATTCAAATTTTATATGATGATGTTTGGACAAAATATAATTTGGTTTTGATTTAATAAAATAAGTTGAATTCATATAATATATATTTAGGTATTCTATATATGATAATCGAATTATAACTATGGATAATTCTTGTGAAGATATAAACAATTCTATAAGTGACAAAGAGACATATCAAAAGGTATGTAAATTAGAATTGAATGAAACTACACCAATATTGGGAATGTCAATTAGAGGAGGCAAAGAAATGAATATTGGAATATATATTTCCAAGTTTAGAATAATTGTATAAAGTGTTGTTTGTGATTTTGCAGTGATATTTAAATGTTTTATTATGTATAATGGATTAAAAATTTGGATATATTAAAGTATAGACCAAGGTAGTATAAGTGAAATTAATGGGATTAAAGTTGGTGATCAAATTATTACTGTCAATGGATATAATTTTCAAGGAATATATCATAGTAAGGCTGTTAAAATTTTGCATAATCATCAGATATTTATAATCATTCTAAAAGTAAATATAATTTCACAATATGATGTTTTATATATAATATAGGAAAGAGGTATTATACCTTTATACAGGGAAATTTGGGAAAAAATTTATATACTTAATCATCATGGTTAGATTTAATTTTAAAACATAATATTAAATATTCATTATATAGATGATAAATCCTTTATCAGGAATTTAAGTACAACTAGGTATGATTTGAATACATATCAATCAATTAAAAATGCAAATCACAATTTTAAATGCAACTCTGATAGTAATAATTTACACAAGGAGCCCCCATGTGTATCAAAACATGCCCTTGTTACTGAATGTAATACAATATTGATTGCTAGATAAAATAATTGTTGATGAAGAAATGATAAAAAATAAATATCTAACCTTACTAAATGTAGATATTAGTTTTGATATATGGTCGTTCCATGCCAAACCATTTACGACTTGGCTGACCCCTTTCAATTTTGATGAAAATTTGTATATAAACTAAGATTTTTGTAATCTATTATACTTGGAAAAAATTTTAGCCACCTAGTTTTTATATTTATGAAGATATTTGCAGTCAAAGTGTAAAAAATTGCCCTTTTCTGTGAGTGTTGATATTCATTAATTTAATGATTGATTAAAAATCACGCAATTATATATAATAAATCTGGTATTAAAATAAAGAATATACTTTTTATATTTAGAAAATATAAGTAAAAGAATAAAAAATTAATAGACCTCTTATTCCCAGAATAAAATTTGAAATCATGATAATGAAAATTGGGTAACATCTATTTTTATGAAACTTTAGATAAACATTAATATTACCATTCTATATTAGTAAAAAAATTAGAGTGAAGCCGATATGATTTCATAGACAAAATTGTTAAAACCTGCAAAAGATGAAAACTATATTTTAATACTATAGATAGTGTTTAATTTTAATAACTTCTCTACGTTGTTCCTATTCTACACTAAATGCTGTAATCCATTCAATATTCCTAACCATCAATGGCTAAAAAATGAAAAGATTTGCAATGGCTGCTAATTAAAGTTCATAAAAACTAAAACTCTTGCCATATTTCTTTCTATCAAGTCAGCAGCAGCCTATTAAATTTTTATTAAATTAATTTTAGGAGACAGTAAATTTTTAATTTATTCAGGATGCAACACAAAGTTATTACTAGACTAACGAAAGATAATAATTCATCCGTTTTTTATATATAATAAAGATATATTATCGTTTGTTATGATATGTTGTATTGCACTTTTTTCAAACTTGCTTTGTAAATTTCATTAAAAATAAATTCTACACAATACCCCAATTTTTTTTTATTTTTCTGAGTGGTTGGCAGCTCAGTACAAAAATCTAAAAAACTTTTCAAATATATATATCATCACGTTAAAGATTTTGACATTCCATCAAAATGACACTTTTCAGCCACTGCACATGGAAAAAGTGTGTATGTTGGTGTTGGAGGCATAGTTAAAAAGGCTAGCACAAGCCAGTTTACAAGGGCTGTATGCTGATCAAATAACATCTCCAATGGAGCTGTACAAATATAAAAACAAAAATAGCATTGAGTAATAATTCATGATGCTGAGGAAATTCTCCTTAAACAACGATTTTTGAAGTAAAAACCAGTCCCAGGAACACATATGATACATGCAGTGATTCCTCATTGGACTATTTTATGTTAAAAATGTATTCAAATACGACAGAAACTATATTAGAAAATTAGGGGTTCAGAGACAAAAGCAGGGATCCAAACCGAACCGTTAAACCGCTAAAAACCGGTATTTTTATCAAACCTGAACCGAACCTAAACCGCTAAAAAATTTCTAGCCGAACCTGAACCGAACCGCTAAAATGCCTCTGAACCGGTTCAAACCTAGTGATTTTATGCTGCTAAAATAATGTGTAAGTTATTACTAGTATATTGCAAAATATTTTAATTATATTCGAATTGTTTTAAAGATTTTTATCAATCACATTTGATTGATAAGTGTCAGTCATAATTTTTATGAACTTTAGTATATTGCCATTTTACAATATTTTTTAAATTTTTTAAGCTTATAAATTATAATGCCTAGAGCAAAATTAAACCCCATATACAATTATTTTACTTATAATATTATTAATGACACATCAAAATGTAATATTGCTGATTGTCAAATAAATATTAAAGGTAATCATGGCGCAAATTTGGAGCGTCACATAAAAAGAAACCACCCTATAGGATTCAATAAAATTAAAATATCACAACAACAAATTCCTAATAAAATAAAAAGGCTTAAGATGCCATCAAACCAACAGACAATAGAAGAAGTATTTAAAGACCTATTATATCAGTGAAGCTAAATAAAAAAATTATATGCTGGTAACTTTTAATGGTAGACCATTCACATTAATCAATGATAGTGGCTTTAGAAAAATTTTGGATCCTATATTAGAAGGTTTAGGTAATATTAAAATTAATTCCCAAAATATTCAATCGAATGTTGCAGAATTAGCCTTAGATATTCGGCAAAATATAATCAAAGAAATAAATGGTAAATTATTATCTCTAAAAATTGACTGTGTTACTCGTCTAGACAGGTCCATTATTTGGGTTAATCTTCAGTACATTCAAAAAGCAAAAATTGTTCTGAGAACACTGGCAATGAAAGAAATTTTTGAACGGCCCACTGCAGAAAATTTAAAACTCCTTTTAATATATTAAATGATTATGAAATAAAAACATCACAACTGTACACTATAACAATGGACAATGGGGCAAATCTAATTAAGATGGTAAATTATTTATGGAGGATAGTGATGATGACAATCAATTGTCTGAAAATGATGAAGAAGAACAAATACAAAATATAGATAATTATGATATTTATACTAGTTTCACAAATGTACCTGGTGAATTAGCAAGCAATCTTAATGATTCTCAATATGATATTGTAAATATAAGATGTGCTTCTCATACCTTACAACTTGTGGTAGCTCATGCTTTAAAAAATTGCTCTATTTCTAATATTATTATTAAAGCTCGTACTGCCTGCAAGAAGCTAAGGACAAAATCGATATCAATCATACTAAAAAAATTAAACTTAAAAAGACCTATATTGGATTGTCACAGATGGTTATCAACCTATGACATGCTAGAGAGATTGAATGAATTAAAAGATATTTGTGAGAAGTTATCAGTATCATATAGTGAACTTTGTTTTACAACTCTGGAATGGGAAGCAATTATAGGGTTGGTAAATATACTAAAACCAATGAAAGTAGCTACCAAGAACTTACAACTTGAGCAGCTAACTTTAGAGGATTTTTATGGCATATGGCTGAAAGCTAAATTAGAAATTTCCATTTTTACTTCATCCTTTGCTGGTTCAATAATTGATGCTATGAATTTTAGAGAGAAGCAACTTTTAAACAACAATGCCTTTTTGTCATGCATATATCTAGATTTAAGGTATGTTTTAAAAATATTATATCTTATATAAATTTAATCAATAATTTTATTTATTTTAATTAATAATTTTATTTCACTATATATATTTTTCTATCTATACATAAATATAATAAGATTTTTTTAATGATATTTTTAATTTTTATTATATAGATATCAAGTGCTGACTGAAGAAGAAAAAACCAAAGCTAGAGAACATATTCTTAAAATATGGCATAACATGGAATCAAACTTTGTTATAAGAGTGGAGGATTTTAGTGAAGGTGAATCAACACCGGTTAATGGATCTTCATCTGAAGAGGACTTAGTAGAAAGTCTTCTTAAAAAAAAAGATGTGAACAAACAAAATCTCTTACAAAAATTAGAGAATAGTAAAAATATTTTAGTTAATTTTTCTAAAGAACCTAGGTTAAATAAAAATATGAATATTTTAGACTATTGGAGAAATCAGAGTAATCGATACCCTGAATTATATAAATTGTCTGATATCATACTGGCAGTGCCAGCTACCCAAGTTAGTGTAGAAAGATGTTTTTCTACAATTAAATTTATACTATCCCCTTATAGATGCAATTTGAGTGTGATAAATCTTGAAAATATATTAATCGTACGGCTTAATAAAATTTTTTTAAATAAATAAAGTTATAAATATTGTTCATATTATAAAATTAATCATTGATATCTATTTGTTATATTTATAAATTAAATATTATTTAATATTATGCAATTAATAAAAATGAAGGTTTTTATGTATGTGTTTTTTTATTTTAATGATAAAAAAAATATTTTTCCCTATACATAATTCGAATGTAGGTTTGAATACAAAAATGTTCAAACCGGTTTATAGAGGTTCGAACCGAACCGTTATTTTTATTTTTTACGAACCGAACCTGAACCTTGAACCGTTATTTTTATCCAAACCTGAACCGAACCGATATTCGTTTCGGTTTGGATCCCTGGACAAAAGTATTACATTTGAAAATATATCAAACTATGTGACATGCATATATGAATCAAATTGGTGTTGGCTTTAATGTCCTTTACATTTCCAGGAATAGATGATACTGTTTACCTACCTAGGTCACATTTAACCACAGTTTCACCATCAGCTCTGACATGAGATATTTAAAAACACCATCCTTACAAGATTGCATGACTAAAGTAGTTATTATTTGATTATAGATATATCTGTATTCTAATTCATATTTTATTTTTTAGGAAGATGTATGGCAATGTAACAAATGTTAGAAACAAGTAATGAGTAACTAATAATTATATAGAAACAAATGTTAATAATAATTATATTATATAAAAATATAATTATAAATAAATAAATTCATAATAAGTAGTTCTCCTGTTATAGTAATGTCATAGAGAAGTTATTATTCGAAATAATTGCAAAACACCATCTATAGTATAAAAATATATTTTACATTTTTTATTGGTTTTTATCAATTTTGCTTATGAAGTCATATCAACTCCACTCTAATTTTTTTTATACTCTTATAGAATGGTAATAGTAAGGTTTATCTAAAGTTTCATAAAAATCGATGTTAGCCAATTTTCGTTATGGGGATTTTAAAATTTCTGGGAATATGAAGTTTAGAAATTTTTTTTACTTATATTTTCTAAAAATAAAAAGTATATTCTTTATTTTAATACCAGATTTATTATACATAATCGCTTAATTTTAAATCAATCATTAAATTTATGAATACCGACATGCGCAGAAAGGGCAATTTTTATGCTTTGACCTCAAATATCTTCAAAAATATAAAAGTTAGGTGGTAAAAATTTTTCGCAAGTATAGATTACAAGAATCTTAGTTTATATAAGGATTTTCATCAAAATTGAAAGGGTTCAG